CTCTTAATCATAACATCCAGTTTGCAAGGCTGACTGGTAGTCCGAACAGAGACCCTCAAGAGAAAGCCTGAGAATTGGAGTGACCTGGAGATCCCCAAATCTATAGCAAATGGAGAAGGTTTGGTTCTCAGCCCAGTCGAAATAGAGGTAAGTCCAAGGTCCCAGACTTGATCTTGGTGCTGAATAGTTTTATTAGTTTGGAGAGAAAGTACTTTCCTTATTCATTCTTCAGAATTTTTTCCATAAAGTTTAATTATATTGCTCAGGGCTAGTTGGACATCTAGCTGCATCCCAAAGGAGTTTGAGTGCTTTGCCTTCAGTGTTGAGGTGTCGAGATTTTGAGTTACACTTGTTCATTTCTTTCTAGCTTTTTTAAATTTTTATTTTTTTTTAAATTTTTCTTCTTATATTTATTTATTGAATCACTGTGGGAAAAGTTACTAAGCTTTCAGTTTTTGTTTCTGTTTTTGGGCTGCACCCTGTAATGCTTAGGATCTACTCCAGCACTTTGCTCAAGGATTGCTCTGGTCAAGGTGTCTGCCATGCCTGGTGCCAGAGATGGAATCCAGATCTCATGCATTTGAGGTACTGGTTCCCATCCCCACCCAAGCTCTTGATATTTTAGTCCATGTAGATAACCTTTATTTTAGTAACAATTGCAGTTTCTTGTCTTTCTATGGGATTATGGCTTCCCCTAAGTGTTTCCACTGTTTTTGTCCCCATCTTCCTATGACTCTGGTCACCTGCTGCCTGCCCCACTTCTGTGTTTAAAGCCCTTTGATGGCTTTTTATTATTTCAGAATGAAATCCAAACTACTTAACTTTGCATGCACGTTGCCACTCAGGACTGCGCAGTCTTCTATCCTTACTTTGAACACCTTGGCCTTCTTTTTTGTAGGTCTCCCTGCGTACTGTTTCCTCTGCCAGTTTGCTGTCCATCTTCCTTTTTACCCGGCTAGTTTCTGCATCTCCTTACTATTTCTCTACCCACCTCTTTTTTAGCTTCTAGGAAGTTTATTTTCAGCTTGCCAGCAGTTGGAGAGTTGCCCATCCTCTGTACTTCTTTAATTCCTATAAAATCATGAATAAATATTAAGATACTTAATTACTTAAAATACGGAGTACAAATGTTTACTTGGCTTTTTCCTCCACTGAACTCTAAAGTTTCTGATAGCAGTAACTGCACCTTGTTTATTGTTATGTTTTTTCCTTAAATTTAAATAGAGCGCTGGGCACTTAATAGACTCAAATAAATGTTCACACAGAGAACAGATAGCTCGGTATTGGCATGGATGTGAGGAAATAGGGACCTTCATTCACTGCCAGTGGGAATGTCAACTACTCCAGGCTTTTTTTTTTTAATGTAGGAGTACTGCTGTTTATTCAGCCACTGATTAGCTGATTGAATTGGGCATGAACTCCACCTTACTTTTTAAATTTTTTTCATAATTTTATTTATTTATTTATATTTATTTATTGAATCACTGCGGGAAAAGCTACAAAGCTTTGAGGTCTAAGTCCGGTCATACAATGATCAGACACCTTTCCCTTCACCAGTGCTCACCTTTCACCACCAAGAACCCCAATATACCCCCCTCCCACCCCTCCCAATGCCTGTGAGGCAGATGATCTCCACCCAACTCTTCTCTACATTGATTACATTCATTATCTCAACAAAAGATGCACCATTATTGTTTAGAATTTCCCCCCCAACAATCAGAATTGCTGAAAAGACATTGTGAAATACTTTGTTTTCTATAGCTGGTTATGAGGGCTTTTTTGAAAACAATACAGACACTTCTAAAAAAATTAGGGATTGAGCTTTCATATGACAAAGCAATTTTATTTTACTTGTATTAGTTTATTATTTTTGTACTTAAAAAAAAATTTATTAGTGAAACACCATGAGGTACAGTTGTAGACTTACAAATTTTTGTGCTTGTGTTTCAATTATACAGTAAGTACCCATCCCTCCACCAGTACTCATTTTCTACCACTACTGATCCCAGTATCCCTCCAACCCCCCATCCCCCTATCCCACTCTGCTTCTGTGGCAGGGCATTCCCTTTTATTCTCTCTCTCCTTTTGGTGCTGTGGTTTGCAAAAGAGGCATTGAGTGGAAATTATGTTCAGTCTATAGTCTACTTTCAGCATACATCTCCCATCCTGGGAGGATCCTCCCAACACCCATTATTTGGTGCTCCCTTCTCTATCTGAGCTGACTTTTCCCCTAGCATGTGCGGCTGGCCTCCAAGCCATGGAGTGAACCTCCTGCTACTTATCTCGGCTATTCTTGGGTGTTAGTATCCTATTTTGTTACTTTATGATCCCCAGATGAACGCAATCTTTCTATGTCTGTCTCTCTCTTCCTGACTCATTTGGCTTAGCATGATACTTTTCATGTAGTACCACTTATACGTAAATTTCATGACTTTATCTTTTCTAACAGCTACATAGTACTCCATTGTGTAGATGTACCAAAGTTTCTTTAACCAGTCATCTGTTCTCGGGCATTCAGGTTTTTTCCAGATTCTGGCTACTGTAAACAGTGCTGCAATGAACAAACAAGTGCAGATGTCACTTTGACTATACTTTTTTGCCTCTCTGGGATATATTCCCAGGAGTGGTATTGCTGGGTCAAATGAGAGCTCAATTTCTAATTTTTTGAGAATCGTCCATACCGTTTTCCAAAAGGGCTGAACCAGTCGGTATTTCCACCAGCAGTGAAGGAGTGTCCCTTTCTCGCCACATCTATGCCAACACTGGTTGCTTTTGTTCTTTTGGATGTGGGCCAGTCTCTGTGGTGTGAGTTGATATCTCATTGTTGTTTTGATCTGCATCTCCCTGATGATTAATGATTTAGAGCATTTTCTCATGTGCCTTTTAGCTATTCGGATTTCTTCTTTGAGAAAGTTTCTGTTCATTTCATCGCCCCATTTTTTGATAAGGTTGGAATTTTTCTTCTTGTGGAGTTTAACCAGTACTTTGTATATCCTTGATATCAACCCCTTGTTGGATGTGTATTGGGCGAATATCCTTTCCCATTCTGTAGACTGTCTTTGTATTTTGATCACTGTTTCTTTTGAGATGCAGAAGCTTCTTAGTTTAGGATAGTCCCATTTGTCTATCTCGTTTTTCATTTGCTTGACCAGTTGTGTGACATCGTTAGCTTCAAGGTCATGGAAGGTTTTGCCAACCTTGTCTTCAAAATACCTTATGGATTCCGGTCTGATGTTGAGGTCTTTAATCCATTTTGATCTTACTTTTGTACATGGTGTTAGGCAGAGATCTGAGTCCATTTTTTTTGCATGTGGTCATCCAGTTTTGCCAGAACAATTTGTTAAATAGGCTTTTCTTGCTCCACTTCACATTTCTTGCTCCCTTGTCAAAGATTAGATGATCATATGTTTGGGGGGAAATGTCAGTATATTAAACCCTGTTCCATTTGTCTGCAGCTCTGCCTGACAAAGCAATTTTGAGAGATGACTCCAGACCTCACACTAGGCTGAATCTTATATCTCAGGCACCCAGAGTTAGGGTGGGTGCACGAACCACCTACCCAAACAGAGCCCCGGTGAAAACCTCTAGAACCCAATTGCCACCATGCTCAAGACCTTTCTCCACAGGCTCAGACAAGCCTAACACATGAGTAAATCTGTTGAAAAACTCAGGTATGCGTGTTTTGTGACTGAAAATCTCTAGGCTCTCATAGAGTTAGGGATGGCAACCTCCTCCCCATCTCTCTGTTGTTCTGGGACCCTGACAGTCATGCCCACAAACTGCCTCCCATACTCAATACCACTGATGTACCAGGAGTAGCACATCACATTGAATGGGATGTAAAGTAGAAGGAGGTCAATCTCGATTAAAATAATATTAGCACACTTGGCTCAATCTATACAACATGTTAGTGATCTCTCATACAAGGGCTTATACATCAATCTTCACACACCTTCTAAGGAAACTTTTGGGGATCATTTTTAGTGAATTCATAACAAGCAATGCAAAATAAATCATTTAGGACTGATACTGGGGCAGGCTTGGGTGGTTTTGGGGAAAATTTGAAATAATGGTGGTGGAAAGGTGCAATGATGGTGGGATTGGGTGTTGGAATGTTGAGTATAATAAATTACTGTGAACAACAACAACAAAAAACCATTTCACTTATCTAAGAGCCCAAAAACTCTATTCAAAGCATTTTGCACCCTATGTTCACTACATCACTCTTCATAATAGCCAAGATCTGGAAACAACCCAAGTGTTCAAGAACAGAAGACTGGGTAAAAATATGGTACATACTCATAGTTGAATACTACTCAGATATAAGAAAAGATGGAACCATGCAATTTTCTACTAGGTTGATGAACCTGGAGAGTATCATGCTATGTGAAATTAGTCAGAAGGAGAGGGATAAACATGGAATGATCTCTCTCATGTGTGGGATATAAGGAAACATAATAGAAGAATAACATGTTCTAAGGCAACAGAAACTGAGAGCTGGTCTTCAGTAGGAAACTTACCATGGGTGAGTGGAAGGACACTGGGACAATGGTGGTGGGAAGTGGACACTGGTGGAGTGAGTGTGTGGTACTGGAATGATTTAAGTAAGGAACCATTAACAGTATTGTGAACCATAGTGCCTAAAATAAAATAAAATAAAAAAACCCGAACAGAACAAATAGCTGTTGAATTAAATGGTACGGTGCTTAGTCTCCCCCACATTCCTTCCCCACCACTAAGGAGATGGGAGGTAGAGGCTAAGGGTCTCCCACAAAGTACCACACAGAGATGAGCTGGGAACTGACTTCCACCAGAAGAAAGCACTTTGTGCTGGGAAATCCTAACCCAATGCATTTCCTTCCCTGCTGGGTCTGTGGTTAAGAGAACTGGCTGACAGATGCCAGTGGTGGGTGGCAAATACATGGACATATGGCAGTTGGATGAATGGTTTATCAACATGTAATCCTCTCTTTCTCCTCCCACTCCCTTCCTGTTCACAGCATCAAGCCGAGCTCCCAGCCCCCGATACAGACTGGGGATGATGAGAAGAACCAGAGGACGATCACTGTCAACTCTGCCCACATGGGGAAGGCGTTCAAGGTTATGAATGAATTGCGGAGGTACTTTTCCTATTTTCCCTGTGCCCTTTTGGAAGAAATTTGTTGTTGGATGAATGTCATTAGAGGCTGAGAACAGAAGTCAGAACTCCACAAGTTATTGAATTCAGTTGTTCCCTCTTTCTACTCTCAGACACTCAGCTTTCTCTTCTTTCTAATTTTGATTTTGGTCTGTGTTTGATGGTACTCAGGGTTTACTTCTGGATCTTTGTTCAGTGATGGTTCTTGGTGCTGTTCAGGGGACCATATGTGGTGTGAGGGTTCAATGTTGGGTCCACTACATGCAAAGCAAGTGCCTTCCCCAATGTACTATCTTTCTGGCCCCTTGACTTCCCCTCTTCATTCATTCATTCATTCATTCATTCATATTTTGTTTCTTGGGGGCCACAACCAGTGATGTTCAGGGGTTATTCCTGGCTCTGCACTCAGGAATCACTCCTGACAGGCTTGGGGCAGTGGAGGGTCAATAGGTACTGCTGAGATCAAATCTGGGTGGGCTGCCAAGTGCCTTACCTACTGTCTTTTTCTTTGGCCTGACTTTGCCTTTTAAATAGAAACAGGAAATACATAGACTTTTATAAAACTCTCTTCATTATTATTATTATTATTATTATTTTGCTTTTTTGGGTCAGCATGCCTAGGTGTTACTCCTGGCCCTGTGCTCAGAAATTACTCCTGGAAGTGCTTGAGGGGCCATATGGGATGACAGAGATTGAACCCGTGTTGGCTGCGTGCAAGGCAAATGTACTATCCACTGTACTATTGCTTCGGCTTCCCGTTATTATCTTTTAACATCTATTATTTTAGTTCTTAGTCATAGGGGGAAAATCCTTTATGGTTACAGCATTTCTCTTCACATACTTGATTATTTTCTCAACTAGCTGCTTTTTTTTTCTCAGCTAGCTGCTTGCAAACCAGTCATAGAATGATTGTAATACCCACACATAATTGCAGATTAATGGTTGGAGGCCTTGCATTTTCTTTGGCTTCTTATTCCTTGGTCTGAACTTAGCATGTCAAGACAGCTGCATGACTAGAACACCAAACTTCTTAACTACAGTTTTAGTCTGCAGAGATAGAAATGAAATGCAGACATATTCATCCTCCCTGAACTAATGATGGTCTTGTGAAGGCTACTGGTAAGGCTAGTATGCATGTCTGGTGAGCTTGCAAGACAAGTCAGGACACTGTACAATCTTACTGTACAAAGGCTGTTTTTACAATAGCTTCTTTACCAAAGCACTCAGGTGTTTCCTAGCCTATGCCATATTTTTCTGTTTCTTGTCATTCTGTTGTGAGTTGTAGTTGTTTTTGCTCTCATGAGATTTCTGACATTAGGGGCAAGTTCTGAACCATTTTGATCTTTAACTCCTGATAAATCATAAATTCTTTGAGTCTGTCAGCCAAAGATGGGCAGGAGGCACTGGTTAGGTACTGGGATAGATTTCTGGGCATACAAAATTAAACATGTAAATAGATCAAGGAAAGTTATCTTTTTTACTACAAATAGATTTTATGATGGAGGATCATAAAAGGTGCCTGCCAGGTAGCAGGTCTGCATAAGTGTTTTTAAAAGGAATTATGGAAGAGCTGGAGAGAGAGTCCAGAGGGTTGAAACTATGCAGGAGGGGGTGATTTCCTGGCATCAGATGGTCTCTGAAGCCCTGCCAGGAGTAGCTCCCAGGCACCAAGCTGGGAGTAGTCCATGAGCACCACTGTCTGTCATCCAAAAAAACTCTGCCCCTCACCCAAAAAAGGAAAGCAAGTACATCACCGTATAGCTCGAGAGAGCACTTCCTACAAGGGTGAAGTCAGAGCTGAACTTTGAAGGACAAGAAAGTGTTGGAGATGGGCGTCCAAGACTTAGCACAGGGATAGCAAGACACTTATGTCACACCCGGCCGACCCCAGTTTAATTCTTGACACCACCAGGACACCATCTGTGGTCTCTGAGCACAGAGCCAGGAGTATCCCTTGAGCACCCATGAGTATTTTAAATGTGACCCCCAAACAAAAATAAACGTAAAGAATAGTGGTGAGGTTAGGAGAGAAATCTTCCAGCCAGAGAAAATGGCATGAACAAAAATATATATTGGTGAAGAAAGACCTTTTGGCTGGGGATTTAATTTTAGTTTTGTTTTGGGGCCATGCCCTGTGGTTCTCAGAGGTTTACCCAGATTGTGATATGGGTTATTCCTAGCCGTGCTCAGGAAAACATGGGATGGGTGGATGGGATTGACCCAGGCCTCTTGCAGCAAAGCTTGTGCATAGCCCATTGAGCAATCTCTCAAGCACCCCAGTTGAACTACTCTAAAAAAACTTATGTCTCATTCTATGTTTGTTTCCTTAGTACTGCTTTCAGCTAAGCCTAGTCTTTGGCATTAAAAACCAAGTCTAGTGCTGGGGGAGAAGGCAGTTGGGTTAGAGAATGTACCACTATGACAAAGATAGTTGGAAATGATCACTCTGTATAAGAACTGGGTGCTAAAAATAGGTAAAGGAGAAAACATGATAACCTCTCAGTATCTGTATTGCAAACTATAATGTGTAAAATGGGGAGGGAGGGAATGCATACACATAAATATATATAGAAAGAGGGAGAGAGAGACAGACTAGGAGAAGGGAAATTGGGGACATTGGTGGTGGGAAATGTACACTGATGAAGGGATGGGTGTTAGAACACCATATGACTTAAACCCGACCATGAACAACTTTATAACTCTGTATCTCAAGTAATTCAATTAAAGAACAAATAAACGAGAAAAAAACAAGTCAATTTAAATGTATTTTGCCCACTACATGTCAGATTTTATTGGATTTTCCACTAGATTTCTTGGAATCTGTATCCACAGCTATCTTAGGTGGTGGACACTGTTGATGTTTATGGTTCTCTTGTCACTAAATAATTGTGTTGTGTTCTCTAGAATCAGCAGTTGGTCATTTAGTTCCCTTAAAATGACTTGTATCATATGAGTGTGACCTACTGATTCAAGACTCCAGATTTCCAAATAAACAATTTTACTTAACATCTCAAGGAATTAGAAAAAGAAAAGCAAACCATAAGCAAAGTTAGCAGAAAGCAAAACAAAACAAATACTAGAATAGAGGTAAATGAGATAGACTAAAAAGATAATAGGGAAAAAAAAGGAAACGAAACTAAGAATGTTTCCTATAAAGATAAAATTGACAGAATTCTAGGTAAAATAATGAAGAGAAACAACAGAAAATTATAAATGAAATACATTAAAACTGATAGCATGAAAAGAGAAAGCATCATATGAGGCTACTGTTAAGAGTTATATGCCAACAAATAGAAGAAATGGATACATTTCTTGAAATTTATAACTTAACCAAGACTGAATTATGAAAAGCAGAAAGTTTGAACATATCAGTAATGGTTAATGAGATTGAAGCAGTAAAAAATTCTCTCAACAAAGAAAAGCCCAGCACCAGAAAACTTGACTGATTCTACCAAGTACATTAAGAAGAATTCATACCAACCTTCCTTGCATGCAACCAAGCCAGCCATGTGGCTCAGGGGACCATATGGGATGTTAAGGATCAAACTTGTATTTGTTGGGTGCAAGGCAAGAGCTCTACTTACCCTACCATCTCTCCAGTCCCAGTCTACATAAGTTATTCTTAATTCCAGTTGTTGTCAAGAGAATATATAGAGTTGGTTTCTTCCAGGAAGAGGTTGGTTCATGTTAGGCTTCAGGCCAATTTGTCTTAGCTTTTCCTAACTCCAGAGAGTCCTTGTAAGTTTTAGGGTGAGATTGCTTCTCAGCCTTTTGGCTAAGATCAAGTGTAAGTTTCAGGGTGAGAAAAAAAAGAGAAGGTACAGAGTGGCAACATGCTTTGCCCCACTGTTATTAAATGATATGTGACTACAGATGTCTATCAAATCATCACATTGTATATCTTAAACTCTCACAACATTATATTTTTACTATATCTCAATAAAGTTGAAGGAAAAAATACTCCAAGTCTCTCACCAGACCTTATTTTTCCAGGTATAGCAAACCTGGAAAAATAGGTCACCTATATAGATGTGTACAAAGTGTACCTCCAAAACTTAGTAACAATAATTTGTGTATTAGTGTTTTCTAGAGAAATAGAAACAATTAGTCTCTTAAATGGGCTGGAGCGATAGCACAGCGGGTAGGGCGTTTACCTTGCATGTGGCCGACCCGGGTTCAATTCTTCTGCCACTCTCTTGGAGAGCCCGGCAAGCTACCGAGAGTAACTTGCCCGCATGGCAAAGCCTGGTAAGCTATCCATGAAGTATTTGATATGCCAACAAGTCTCACAATTTGTTGTGAGATGTTACTGGTAACCGCTTGAGCAAATCAATGAACAACGGAGGACAGTTCTACAGTGCTATACATATATGTATATATGATATGTATATGTATAATTGTTCATATATATAAACAGGTCATTGTTCATATATATGTTTATATATGTATAACTGTTCTTGTATATACAGTATATGTATATGTATATATATGTATATTTATGTACATTTGTACATATATATGTATAGTAGATTTATTTTAGGAATTGGCTCATGTGGTTATGGAGGCTGAGAATTCCCACAATCTGCTTTCAGCAAGCTGGAGAACCAAGAAAGCTGGTGATGTATTTCAGTCTGAATCCCAAGACTTGATAAATGAGGATTTCCTGGGGGTCCAAGGATTGGAGAGCAAGGAAAAATATTGTATGTAGGTGTGGGAGGAGGGAGTGAAGCTCAAGAAGAGAGAGTGAATTGACCTTTTCTCCCTCTTTTGGGTCTATTCAAGCCCTTGGTTCATTGGATAACCCCCACACATATTGATAAAAACTTCCTTCTCTTGGTTCACAAATTCACATGCTGATCTCTTCTGGAAAAAATTTTAAGACACACCCAGAAACAATGTTTTGCCAACTATCTGGTCCAGTTAAATTGACACACAAAATTAATTATCTTGTTGTTTGGTCCTCCTTGCCTTTTTTCCCCAGAT